AAGAAAGGCGAGAAGGAGAGAGAGAGAGAGAGAGATGTAACCGAGAAATAAAAAAAAAAGAAAAAAAAAAAAAAAAAAAAAAAAACAATAATAATAGCCCTCAAAACGCCAGAGACAAACCGATGGCCCAGAAGCGAACCGGGGAAGCCCCTCGTCGAACAGCCCCGCCGCAGACCCTCCCCTCCCCTCCCCCCTGAGAGCGGAATACGTCGTGAGAAACGGCCATCAGGAATCAGGAGGCGCCCGACGCACATCCCTCCCGCCCAACTCGCCAGCCCAGACCACACCCAGAAGGCAGGGAGACGCACCCAATATCTCTCCCACAATTCTGGAGTCGGGAATCCAAGGCAAAACAACCCTTATCTCCTGTTCCCCCTCACCTTCGCTCACTCTCGCGGCATCCGTGTTTTGATACATCCAGGCCTCCCAGACGGACAAGCAAACGCATAAGCAATACAGAAAGAGTGCGCCTCCATATACACACCTGCACGGCATTCTCGATTCCCTGCCCTCCGCTGCATCCAAAGCGGCCTCAGGTAAGTGCAACCAAATTCCTCGCGGACGGAAATGGAAATATCAAAAAATAGCGAGCACTTCCCCCTCGACGCCGGCGCTCCAGGAAGGATGCGGCTTGACCTTCGAGGCCAAAAATAATAAACTCCAATATTCCTAACACGAGTCGGGTCAAACTGGAAATAAAGAAAGAGACGAGAGACGGACGGCGAAGCGGCGAGGACACGCACACAAATGCACAGTTGCGGAGCCGGCATACGAAACGAGAAACACAAAAGCAAACAAGAAGAGAGAGAGAGAGAGAGAGAGAGAGAGAGAGAGAGAGAGAGAGAGAAGGAGAGAGAGAGAGAGAGAGAGAGAAGAGAAGAGAAGAGAGAGAGAAGAGAGAAAGAAAGAGAGAGAAATAAGAACACATGATCGATTTTTTTCTCTCTAGCCAAAAGCGATATATAAGTTTCCGAAGCTAAGCTGTACATTCCATAAATTGCACCGCGACCAGTTAGCCGTAATAGGACGACGGATGCTCTGCGAAAGTTTTTTCTTTTATTGAAAATATCATCGTGATGCAATTGATATTCACTCCCTTTTTTCGAATCCCTTAGAGTGCAATATAAATGGATACACGGGCGAAGAAAAATGGTCAACTGGAAAAGAAAAGAAAAAAAATCTTTCGCACATTAAAACAATAATAAAAAACGGGAGGGGGAGAGAGAGAGAGAGTGGGAGAGGCAAGTTCCATCACACTTTCAGCACATTAAATTTCTGAAATATTCATGAAATAATCAGGTGAATGGTCGGTTCTGGGCGGCCCAGTAATGGAGGGAGGAGAGGGGAGAGAAGGGGAGGGAGAGAGGGAAGAAGGAGAGAAGGAGGAGAGGGAGAAGGAGGGGGGAGAGGGATAGGGGAAAGGAAGGAGAGAAGGAGGGGAGATTAGGAAGGATGGAAGGGAAGGAGGGAAGGGAGAGGGGAAGAAGAGAGGAGAGGTAGAAGGAGAGGAGAGGGAGAGGGAAGGAGGGAGGAGATAGAAGGAGAGTAGGGAGAGAGAGGAAGAAGAGAGGAGATAAAGAAGGAGAGGAGGGAGGGACAGGATAGGGGAGAGGAAGGAGAGAAGGTGAGGGAGAGGAGGAAGGAGCGAAGGGGAGGGAGAGAGGAGGGGAGAGGGGGAGAAAAAAGAGGAGAGAGGAGAGGAAGAAGAAGAGAAGGGGAGGGGAAAGGAGGAAGAAGAGAAGGGGAGGGAGAAAAGAGAGGGAAGGGGAGGGAGGAAGGAGGGAAGGGAAGGATAGGAGAAGAGAGAGAGGGGAAACAAGGAAGAGGAGAGGGGGCTGATGGCGAGAGCAAGCGAGAGCAAGCGAGAAAAAGGAGAGAGGGAGGGGGGAGCTACAGGCGTCGATGTGGTGGTGACATTAATAGGATTAGTGTGGCGGTGATGGAGACAGCGATGATGGAGACGGTGGCAGTGGCGAGAGAGGACTAAGTATTGGAGGCGCTGACGCTGGCTGGCTCGGGAATTAGCCCACGGCTGGCGATATGTCCTCCGGCTGAGGGGGACAGCTGCTTTTCTTAATGCAATTCTCCTGGCGATGTTTCCCCCGGATGGATTTGTCACATATCCTCCTCTTCCATTTTTTGCGTGTCCTTTTTTCAGTACACTTTTGCAACATTACTCTCCTACTGCGATTTTTTCCCAGTGTGAATTAACAAGAACGTTTTCCCCGTTGGGAATTTCTTTTCCTTGTGTGGGGTCACGACTGTAAAATACCAGTAATATTTTCCCGGTTGCTGTCTTCCTAAAGTGAATTTGCAGAATAATTTTCCTCTTTTTGCTTTTATGGAGTAAATCCCCAGTCCTCTTCCCCTTTCGTGTGCATGTGCGCGCGTGCGTGGACTGCTTTATATTTCCCCGTCGATTCTCTATACCAGGGGTTCTCCATGGTCGCGCCCCAAATGAGGGTCACCATGGGTTTTCTGAGGGTCGCCAGAGGGTCTTAAAAGATAAATAAAAGAATCCATAGCTGGATATGTCAGTAAAAGTTTGTTGAAATTTAATGTATAAGTACAGAATAACGTAAGCTAATGTACAGCTGCAAGTTTATCTACCATGAAAATGGTTGGATATATGACTATATGTTCACACATTAAAGGTCACTAGCCCAGCTAAGACTGCTTTCAGAGTCGCACACAAAAAAGGTTGTGAAACACTGCTCTATACCAAGGATGTCATACACGCCTCATTCCTATGTGCGGCACATTTGCCATTTCTCACTTGCAGTCCGCCGGTTTACACGATTGATTAAGCCAGTCCTTCGTCTTTTAAGATCATCACACACTTACCTTTTCTTTATCATTATTGTGTTTTTGTAATAAGTGAAATACCCTCGTAAGCCTTTACGTCAACCATATGACCGTCCCATCGCGTCGACTCGTGATCATTTGGCCCACATACTGTATTCTCAGGTGAAATGTGGCCCCCTTGGGTAAACGAGTCTCACACTCCTGCTCTATACCTTTCTTTATTAATATTCCCGTTGTGACTTTCCGTATGTAATTTTCAACCATTCCTGGTACCGTGTTTCCTTTTCTCGTGTATTTTTTTCTTTCTAATGGTCACTCCCCTCCATGT